CGTCTCCTCGTCCTCCACACGTCGGCATTCAACATCGTCGGCTAGACCCAACAAGTAGAGGTGTGCTGTTAATCGGCAATGCCCAGTAAAGACACCCATTAGAAGTTTTATGCTGCTACGAGCAAGTCCTAAAATATTCCCGGGTTTGACAGTGGCGATGTTAATAAACAACTTAGCATGTCTCATTCCAGGAGAACTGGTCCACAGTAGGCGAAGTCTCTCTTCAACCCACAATCCAATCCTATGTTTGGCCAACGCAAATGATGCACCAACCGCTGGCTCGTTTCATCTGCCGCTTCATTGCCAGCGTGACCTGGGACCAAGATCAGAGAAACTCTGTTATCACAACTCAGTGTATTTAAAGTACTGTTACAGTCATTAACTAGAGCCGACATCGTTTTCACGGCCTGCAACGTCTGGAGAGTGGCTTGACTGTCTGAGAAAAATTGTACTGCCATGTACAACTCCTTCTCTCTCAAGAAGGATTTTAGCACCCATGTCAAATACTTCCGCCTGGAATACAGTACAGTACGTACCCAAGCTGTAAGCTTGCTTAATCCGAGGTCCCCTTCCGGCGTCTTTGGTCCATCTGTGAACATGCAAATATCTGCCTGAATCAGAGAATTTTCATTTTCGATCCAGGACTGCCGTTCAGGCAGTACAATCTGGTATCGAGCATTAATCACTGATAGTGATACCGCCAAATCTAACGGCATTGATTGCACAACATAATGTCTTCCGCAGCCCATTGGTACACGTCGGTTTTGAGTATATTGTTTAAATCTGTAAGTGGTAGTTCTACTCAACTTCTAGCTACTTTCTCTATATGCAAATGCAAAGGAGATAGGCCAAGCAGAACATCCATTGCTACAGTTGGCGTTATGATTATCGCACTGCAATATATGTTATCCAATGTTGTATCGATATGGTATCAATTGTATTATTATGTTCCATTCTTCAACGTTGGTTTGCTTTGGAGTTGGGTTGTTTCCAGCTTAGGTTCCTTTCGGGTTGATTTACTTTGGAGTTAGGTTGCTTTCAGGTTGACTTGTTATGTAGTTGAGTTGCTTTCGGCTTAGGTTTCTTTGAAACTTAGTTGTATTCGTATCAGCTCTATCGTTTTGGATGAAATATTAGAAGATATGTTTGCAAGTATGGAAATTGTAGAAAAGCAGACGATTCATTGCGTGTAGGAGCTTTTATCATGGTGCAGGAAAGACTAACAATCTTAAACTAAAACTAATAGTACCGCTATCACTGGAACCTTTCGGGATAAGCCGTGCGTCTTTTGAAAAAGTGTTTGACGTTTCGAATGCCATGTTGTAACCTTCTTGAGAAACAAGTTCGATAAAAGTGATAAAAATTTAGACAATAAATACGTAAAAAAGATAATTAATAACTAATTAGTGTGTTAGCGTTCTTTTATGTGTGGTGCGGCTTTTGTACGATAGATGGCGTGGGGAGGTTCTTGTGGTGTGTATATTTAAAAACTGGCACATATGTAGTCATAAGGTTTAGAGTAGAGCAGTTTAAAAAACCGTTGGATTAAGTGTAACCGTTGGATAATAAAGAGTTGTTTAGCCATTCAGAGGAGTGTGTTTAAATAGTTAACAAGTGTCTAATTGTCAAATCCGGTGGAGAAGGTTTCGTTGATTTTACTCAGTTATTCATGTTATTTCCATGTCGATGAATCTCTATCGTCTCTCTCGTCATTCTTTGGAAGTAATGTCTGGTTCTTGCTACCACTTTAGTTTTGTCGAAATCCATGATGTATCCTCCTTTGTGGCTGCAGATTGTTGGATTTTATTCAGTCGGACGACCCTCTCGGGGGACTTGGATTTGGCCAACCTCGCAATTCGCTCCGTCACACCTGAAACATAAGGAAGGTAGATAAAACCGGCTGGTGTAGTACTTACCGAGTCTTCCCTCTGTTTGCGTAGTTTGGTGGCTCGTTGGATATCCCTCATTGTATAGCCGTTCGTCTGCAGAACATCTTGTAGGAAACTCTCTTTTATCACATCTCCTCTCTGCTCGTTGGAATAACGCTTGAATCACGGACCTCTTTTGTTGTGGGTGATGATGGGATGAAGCCTGCTGGTATCTATTCGTATGCGTCTTCTTTCAATATACTCCCAGTTCTATGAATGTTAACTGTTTTACAGTTTTCGTTTCCATGGTAAATTTTGTTATGGGGTGTTGTGAGTTTAGGTGGTCTAAAAATTCCTGGGACATCCTTTGGAAAACCCTCCAGGATGAGTTTCTGGCAAAGACCATCCACGGCATCTTTGGGATATCCTGGGGGTCTAACTTCATACTCCTGATTGATTCTACAAAATGTGTGGAATCTCTGACATATGATTCTGTTTTACCTGTAAAAGGAGGCAGAAACTTGTTGCTCCTCAATGTTGCTGTGACCTGGAACCCACCATAGGGTAACATCATTGCCCCTAGCGAGTTCTCTCAGGTTGCTGGTACACTCTCTGATCAGTGCGGAGTCACCCGTGTAGGCCTGAATTGGCCTGAATTTAAGGCGGCCCGACTGTCTGTGAAAATGTTTATGGATGCACCTTTTTGTCCCTTCTGTAGGTTCAAAGCGGTGCAGCAGTTTATAGCAAGAACTTCTGCTTGGAAAATTGTTATGTCCGAGCTGAGGGGCAATTTGATGTGGCTATTTGGCCCACTGATGCCCATGCCTACTCCGGATCTAACTATCTTTGAAACATCGGTGTACCAGGCTAGGGCTCCTCTTTTTAGTTGAGGCCCAATCATAGCTGCTTCTAAATATGATCTTATACGGCTGGTTGAAATTGTATTCTGTATGAGGGCCGTTTTAATTTCAATCTGTCTTATGATTTGTTCATTTGTTCATCAAGTCATCAACTACCAGGCACCATAGGAGAGGTGAGAGCATTTCCTCTTGGGGGTAACCTCTTAGCGCCTTAATAATCAACGACTCGCCTCCCAGACTGGCTGTGATCTGCCGACTTTTCAACATGGCTATACACCATTTGACTGTTTAGAGCATTCTCTATGGATTCGTTGGAGGTGTTATCAAAAGTATCATCTATGTCTATGAAAGCACGTAGGGCTATCTCTTTGGTTGGAATTGTCTCTTCTAAAGAGCTTGTCAAAGCATGGAGAGCAGTAATTGTTGATTGAATTGCCTTTTCCATCCGTTTGAGGAAAAATGAAGTTAGGCATCATCATCCTTTGGTTTAGAGTACTGATTTTAGAACAGTTTTAGTTCTATCTGACACAATATTTTTTCAATACCATGGTGTTCTGCTCCAACAGCATCCAATAACTTATAGAGCAAGTATCGATTAGGATGATGAGGATGTTTCTGATCCCAGAGCATTTTTAGCGAAAACCACACTAATTAATAATCGATATTTGCTCGATAAATTATAAGATCCTGATTTGTTAATAATTTTTCTATTTAAGTTATCTTGTTGAACGCAGCTCTTTGGGCACTTTCCACTCCCAACTGCGTTCCAATTATGATATTCATGGATTTAGTGCTTAAATTATTAGCAATGCTGATATTAGATACCAAAGTGTTAATGATGATGTTTCCATTAAGAACAAGTTATCTTCTTCATTAGTAGCAATTTTGTGCAGCGTGGTGCGTCTCACTTATCGACTCTCCATTATGTGCGGTAATTAAACCGAGGCAGTAGAATTAATATCATATTAACATAAAACTGGTGTCAAACAACGTGGCTACATCAACAAGTAGAATAGATGTATATGATTTGTGATTAGATTTGCAGCAGGAATGTATATGGTTATCAGCTCAACATAAATCGACATGGATCTCACCAGACGGTAAGAACCAAATAGACCATGTGTTGATAGATATGCTTTGCATCAAGTATCGCAAACTGGATATTGAAAAACTGGAAACACAATGTAGATTGAAGGAGGATATAAAAGTACAGAAAGATAAAGGAACGTTGTAGCGGTGATTGAGATCAGACGATTTATGACCAGTGGAATATGTTTAAGACAGCTATGCTAATATCGAGACAGCAGCAAGATAGAAGCAGTGCCACTTTTTGCATACCTTGGGGTAGAATTATCAAATAGTTATAATTAAAATCCATTTTACCAGTTGTGAATTTATGAAGAGGTAATTATTAATTAAGTCTGACTAGTTTCGGCCCATGGCCATCCTCAGACACTAATTTTACAAGAGTTCACATAAAAAAAGTATATCATGAAGAACGTTCTTCAATTTTAACGTGTTAACTTGTAATTTTGTCTTAAATTTTTATTCAGATAATCACCTTTGTAAACTTAATATTTAATGATATGACTTTTCTGTGAACTCTTGTAAAATTAATCTCTAAGGATGGCCATGGACCGAAATTAGTCAGACTTAATTAATAAAACCAGTTTCAAAAGTACAAATTAAGAATATTAAATTTAATTACCTTTTCATAGAATTATCAACACTGGGAGCAAGGTAACAAGAAGTTAGAAGGAGGTCCATTCTTTCTAATAGAGCATATTTCGCATTAACCGAAATATTTATTTTATTTATTATTTGTGGATATTTAGATCCACAAATCAACACTGAGACACTAAAATAGGCTTACACAAAACAATAGTAATATATGAAGAATCAAGAACAACCATTAATTGTATTGCATTTATAAGAGCCCGCTATTATAGGAGTTTCTCAGACTCCAGCGCTTAAAATGAGTTGGTCATGTGATTAGAATGGGAGAGGAGGAAACGCCTAAGTGCAGTTTAACAAATTATTATACTTCAATTTTGAAAAAGATATAAATAAAAGTAATGTTTAAATTTTTATTATTGTTGCTAAATTCTAATAAAAGGTTTTTTCTAATAAAAAATTCCCCTTTTAACGTTGCACAAATTTATGGATATAATAATAAATATGGAATGTTAAAGTCTAAGAAATAATAAATAAGTTTAAATACAAAAACAATTATAAAAGATGTTAAACAAATCAACAAATAAAAATATCACATTCTTAATATTAACTTAAAATTTACAATTAACGTCGATTTAAAATTAATTTAATGTCGAGAAGCTGCTGATTTCGGTGGAACTAATCTTCCACTCGGTCTTGGGACGCTTGATGTTCGTCGCTGCTTTTCCGCCTTTTTACTCGTATTATAAGTGTGATACACCGCCTTCATGCCTCTCTTAACCGACGTGGAATGCTCTAAATGGCCTGACATGTGTTTCCGCATGTTATTTCCGGTATATGCGACACCTTTCATTTGAAATTCTGTCGTTTCTGTATTCCATAACATATTTTGTTCTATTTTTTTCTAAAATAAAAATATTTTAATTAAGTGCTATTTAAAATAATTTTATATTGTACCAAATATTCTTTAGGAATATAATTTTCAATCATCATATTAGCAAGTTGAAATTCGCGCACTAAAAGTCGATAATTATGTAATAAAGTTTCCATTTCTCTTTGATACTCGTGTTCTTTATCAGCGTATTCTTCTTTAGCTTCGTTGAGTAAAGCTTGAACTTTTTTGATTTTCTTTGTAATGCCGATATCTTCTTCTTGGAGGCTCGAATATTTTTCGGAGACATCAATTTTTTCCGCCCCTTTTTGCTGGATTTGTTCTTCGAGTTGTTGGTGGGATTTATCCAAACTTTCCAGTTCGGCACCGGACATTTCTAATAAAAAGAGTTGTTGTTGAGCTTTCTCCAAAAGGTTTTCACCGCCCACGAGAATTTTCTTTTGGATTAATGAGATTTTCGTTAACAATTCTTCTTTTTCTTTCTCGGTCTTTTGAAGTTCTTCGTCGTGTTTTTTTGTTTCTTCGGTTATTGCGTCTATTTGAGATTTTTCTTTCTTCTTTAACAAAAAATTTAAATTAATATGTAAAAAAAACTATTTACACTTTATAATAATAAAAAATTATCTCATTATAACACGACATTCCTTGAAATATCTTGGAAAAATGGAAAAATTAAAATTTATGTTTATAGTAAAAGCCACAATAGATGGAAAATCAAATTATATCGCCATAACCTCAAGATAACAAAACTTTCTTGGTGCCTGAGAGCTACAAGAAGCAATATTACATACAGAAATTAGTAATAGAAAAGTGTTTGCAAATATCAAGAACACATTAAAAAAAGGCACTAAATCGGAAGTGTTTGGATTAATGAGTTAAAACGGACATACTTTGATGAAGTGGAAAATATGGTTTATGATCAATATTTAGAAGAAACAAATCAAGAAGAAAAACCTCCAAGAAGATCCGGTTATATGATGGAAAAAATATATATACTTATGAATGGATGGAAAATTTTGGAAAAAGAATGTGAAAGATTTGATGTAAAATAAGATTTACTTTACAATCGGAATGGCTGAAGTGGAAACAAAATTTCTGTGAAACATATGCAAACAAAGGTTGGTCTGCTAGTAGATATGCACTGTCATTGAAATACCAAGCAGGTTCCTTGCTCGAATATGCCATAAAGAAGGAAAAACTTTTACTTGAAGTGAGAAAAACAACTCAGACACGACTCAGATACCTTAGTTGTCTGAAGTAGTTAGAAGCCTGAAGAAGTGCAACATCAAAAAGATATATTAATAAGGAAACATGGTGTGTACTATAAAAAAGTAAAAAATAAGGAAAAAGTTGTATTATCAGAGGAGTTTAGCTTAAAACTTATTAAAGACGTTCTTTATCACTATAGTCATATAGGTATAAAAATGCAAAAGACAATAAATCAAGTACATACTGCAAAACATTTAACAAATAATATAAAGAACTTTTGCAAAAGTTGTGAAATCTGTATAAAGAGTAAATCGCAAGAGCTGATTTAGCTCTCCACATCAATGTCGAGAAAAATTCAAAATTTTGAAAATTGGAAGAATTCGTAGTTTCACAAATAATTAATGGAAAAAAACGGTATTCCGAGCATGATACAGAAAAACTTTTAGAACAAAAATTATAGCAAATTTGGCCCTTTATACATTGCTCCCTAACACTTTTACTCTAAGATATATCAATGTAGAGAAATATTCGAAAATTGGAAGAATTCGTAGTTTCACAAGTTGCTAATGGAAAAAACGGAATTCTGAGCATGATACAGAAAAACTTTTAGAACAAAAATTGTAGCAAATTTGACCCTTTATACATTGCTCTCTAACACTTTTGCTCTCAGATACATCAATGTAGAGAAATATTCCAAAATTGGAAGAATTCGTAGTTTTACAACTGGTTAATGGAAAAAAACGGAATTCCGAGCATGATATAGAAAAACTTTTAGAACAAAAGTTGTAGCAAATTTTACACTTTACACATTGCTCTCGAGCACTTTTGCTCTCAGATGTATCAATGTAGATAAATATTCGAAAATTGGAAGAATTCGTAGTTTCACAAATAATTAATGGAAAAAAAACGGTATTCCGAGCATGATACAGAAAAACTTTTAGAACAAAAATTGTAGCAAATTTGACCCTTTATACATTGCTCTCTAACACTTTTGCTCTCAGATACATCAATGTAGATAAATATTCGAAAATTGGAAGAATTCGTAGTTTCACAAATAATTAATGGAAAAAAAACGGTATTCCGAGCATGATACAGAAAAACTTTTAGAACAAAAATTGTAGCAAATTTGACCCTTTATACATTGCTCTCTAACACTTTTGCTCTCAGATACATCAATATAGAGAAATATTCGAAAATTGGAAGAATTCGTAGTTTTACAACTGGTTAATAGAAAAAAACGGAATTCCGAGCATGATATAGAAAAACTTTTAGAACAAAAGTTGTAGCAAATTTTACCCTTTACACATGCTCTCGAGCACTTTTGCTCTCAGATGTATCAATGTAGATAAATATTCGAAAATTGGAAGAATTTGTAGTTTCACAAGTTGCTAATGAAAAAAAAAAACGGTATTCCGAGCATGATACAGAAAAACTTGCTCTCTAACACTTTTGATCTCAGACGCAGAGACATACAAATTATTTTTACAGCTGTAAATTCACCTTTTTCTAATGGACTGAATGAAAGCTTGCATCAAACATTACTTATCAAAATTAGATGTAAGACTAATGAAAAGGAAAGAAAAAAATGAGCTCACGCTCATTTCACGACCATTGCTAAAGACTGTACAGAAAAGTACAACGAAACTGCAGACATTAGAATTCTACCTGAAGAATTGAAATAAGGAGGTATAAATAACCTAATACTAGACAGGAAATCAGCCTTGCTAAATACAATAATGTCACATGATTACAATAAAAGCAAATTTGACGAACACAGAAATGAACATTATTTTAATGTAGGAGACATCTCGAAAATGGTATTAGATTAAACAGAATAAAATTGGACGAACTGAAAATAGGGCCATATCAAATATTGGATAAAATATCAACATCATTATACAAGATAGATACAGGCCACAAAAAATCCGAATCGAATCTATTTCATATGGGGAGCTTTTTTACAAAACGCAAACTGTCCACATTTTAAAAAATTGGCTTATAGATGATATTACGAGCTATGTAGGCAGTAGAATATTATACATCGTCAATTCTGGTCAAAGCAACTTGTTCATATGACATAAGTTAAGACTGAAGTTACAGCAGAGTCCACGTGCTTGACAATTTGTGTTGTTTTTAATCAAACCAGTGATATATTGGTTCATAAGAAACGTCGATCTGTGTTACAATAATGGATGGAATATTAGTGAGAGAAGTGTCTGACAGCGACAGTAGAAAACGGCAACGTATATAAGGAAAAGCGAGACTGGAAAAGAAGAAAGCAAGGTAAATCTTACAAATCTTCAAAAAAAAATATTAATAAATATCAAAAAGACAGTTTATAAAGATAAACTACAAGGATGTACGATTATCTCATTTAGTAGAAGTACATTCCCCAAAGAGACATCGTGAATTGAATTTCAGTTCAGAGAAAATAGAGGTGGAGATCGGTGGAAAAATAAAATGCTGAAGCAAAGAGTAGAAGTTATAAAGTTTACAACAAACTTTAAAGGGGTTGAAAGCCATTCACAAAATATTTTCAACTAAATTTAATTTAGGGTTTGGTTCACCAGCAGCTGACATTTGCAGTTACTGCGAACGTCTCAAACACAAAGCATTATCAGCAAAGTGTTCAGAAGTTAAAAATAAATCATTGAGCGATCTCAAAGTACATAGAGTAAGAGCTAGGCAGTTTCACTTACTGATGAAGGAGGGAGAAGAAGGTACTGCCAAAACTTCCTATTCAAGAATGTTTTTATTTATTACAGATTGGAATGTATGCATTTTCACTTTTACATGTGGGTTGAACATCAATGCGGCAGAGGCTCGAATTCAACTGGTTCGGCAATTTTATATATAATCCATCTATTGTACTGGTGGCTTTACTGCATTTTTTCCCTTCTTTTACACGTCTGTACATATGCTTTTTCACGTGTAAAACGCATTCCAGTTTTTCGATTGCTGGATTGTCTCTGGACATGAGACTAACCCCTTAAAGAAATCGAAGTAGGTTTTCCAGTGACTGGCCATTCCTATCTCCCAGCAGATAGGGTCTTCAGAAGACTTGAAAAGGAATTAAGAAGGCATAGAGTAATTCTTTTACCTGAACATTAAAACGAAATTTACAAAAACTTTGGAAAAGTAATAATAATAATATTTATTGGCACAACCCACATACTTTACATATTTAATATAAAAAAATCAAACATGAATATACAAAAAAAAAATGTACAAAGCAATATATATTACAATAGAATGGGGTTGCAACCAAATGGACTGCGTTTGGCTCGTAACATAGTCACGATCCACTCCTCCACGCAGCCCGCAGAAAAAAAAGAAAAACTATAGATAGATAACAATATAGATGGATTAAGCTAAATACCTCTAACAGCTTTTGATCAGAACCACCAATTTACTAATTTGAACACATTGAACATTGCCACACCTAACGAACCCACCCTCACCGCAGCTCAGATAAATATTTTATGACGGCCTTTTTAAATTCATATCTCGACTTAAAACAAAAGCAACGATTAAGATCAGTGACTTTGCAATATTGTATGAAAATGATTTCTTAAATAGTTGAGTCCTATGCCATGGAATTGCGACCTGACCTCTGAATCGAGTACTACGATTCAACACGAAGTCAACACACTATGAAAAAACAAAGCGGTATGTAAAAATCTTCTCCTCCACATATTTAGCCAATTGGCGGCCTCAGAAACATGCTGACGACGTTTAATACCATAGATAAATCGTAAGCAACTATTCTGCACTCTCTGAATTCTACCAGCACTAACTTGATCTATAAACGAATGATAAAGTACATCACAGTAATTAAAATGTGATAGTACAAACGGCTCACATAACAATTTTCTAAGTTTCACATTCAAAACCGTTTTGTGTGAATATAACATCTTTAAACTGGCAAACGCCCTCCTCACTCTGAATCTATCCAGACTCCCAAATACCTGACCGAATCCTGATACATCACCTCAGCCCCTCCAATAAGCAATTCCAGATCCCGCTGCGCAGCCAGTTTATTTCTTCCATTCGCAAAGACCAAACCAACAGTTTTATACGAATTTACCACTAAACCGTGATCATCCGCAAAGTGGAGAATCCCGCTCAGGTCCTGATTGATTTGACTAGAAGCTAACGCAACATCCGATGGCTTAAAGGAGTAATATATCTGTGTATCATCCGCATAGAGATGATAGCGACAGGTACGAATGTACTTTTGAATATTGAGTGTATATATCGAGTACAGCAGTGGACCAAGCACTGAGCCTTGGGGCACGCCCGATTTCACATTTAAAATGCTGGATCGACTGCCCCTAAACAACACACT